GTGTGCTTTGTGTCTCCATGATATTTACTTCCTGTGTTGTTTCAAACCAACTAACTTTAACCATTTAAATTATATGAACATGAATGAATGAATGAATATTAATTTGCATAAATGAGTTTGAATTTGTATCATATTTGATACATCTACCAATATTTTTGCTATTTATTGCTTAAAAAGAATTTTGTACAATCAATTTAGGTGTTTTTGAGGATTCACACTAATGATGATGATGTAGAAGTCTCAAAAACTCAGAAAAACTCCATCCATCTATCCATCCATCAATCTTCTTCCGCTTATCCGAGGCCGGGTCGCGGGGCAGCAGCCCGAGCAGAGAAGCCCAGACCTTCTTCTCCCCAGCCACCTCCTCCAGCTTGTCTGGGAAAACACCAAGGCATTCCCAGGCCACCCGAGAGATATAATCTCTCTACCATGTCCTAGGTCTGCCCCGGGGCCTCCTCCCAGTGGGACATCCCCAGAACACCTTACCCATGAGGCGCCCAGGAGGCATCCTCGTCAGATGGCCGAACCACCTCAACCGGCTCCTTTCGATGTGAAGGAGCAGCGGCTCTACTCTGAGCCCCTCCCGGATGGCTGAACTTCTCACCCTATCTCTAAGGGAGAGGTCAGCCACCCTTCGGAGGAAGCCCATTTCCACCACTTGTATCAACAATCTTGTTCTTTTGGTCACTACCCACAGCTCGTGACCACAGGTGAGGGTAGGAACTCAGAAAATCCGAAAACCTCTATTTATCAAATTTGATATACTAGGCATTATGGGGGTAAGTGGAATTGGGTTATAGGGCCTTCCAGCAGTGAGTTCACACCCCTGCAGGCTTACTACATTCCAGAAATGTTCAGCACCTATTTTGTGTCAGATATGGAGCAAACTCCAGACCCTCACAGATTTGAGCAAAGTGTGAATATATCAGGACTGTCAACAATAAACAAAATGAAACTTCCATATCTTGAATTGTGTATTGCAACAGATTTGTTATTTGTATTATTGCAATTTCCAATAATGAACAAAACAGATTCAAAACTCATAATAGGAGCATTTGGGAAACGCTGTAATTGCCTGAATTAATTGCAAATGATTAGGCACACTTTTCAGTAAGTGCTGGGCACGATTTTAATGCATCCATCTGTATACATCACTGCTAATTGGAAGTTCTCTGCAAGAGAAAGGTGAGGGCATCCCGAAGATTCCACATAGAGTCACATTCATCACAGAGTCGGGGGGTGGGGTTCAGCTACCTTTTTATTTACCTGCTTTTTGTTTATTTTCCCCATGCTGTAAGTTCATTAAATGTGTTTTTTGCTAAGTGTTTGCGAGACTCAGTTTGGATCCTCTGTCGAACTACATGTAATCTCCGATATCAAAATACACTAAGACTAGCTTTACAATGGCAGCAGTTCTAAGAAACACTGATGAGACAAAAGTTATTCAACAAGGACTGTTGTCCTTTTGTTGGTTTCATATTCTGTGTAAGTATTAAATCAGATGTACATCTTAAATGATATAATTTATATTGCAACATGGGAAGTTAAATGAACTGTCAAACATATTTAGTTTTTTCTCAGAATTAGATGACATTGATACTGCTCTCATTTTATGAATACAGAGAGGAGCACATACTGGAATGAGGGAATCAGCCCAATCCAAATATATAGCCCAGTGGTTAGTGCTGCTGCCTCACAGCAAGAAGTCCCTGAGTTTAAATTCACCATCCATCTGGGGTTTTTCCATGTGGAGTTTGCATGTTGTGACTGTGTGGTTTATCTTTGGGTACTCTGGCTTCCTTCCACAATTCAAAGACATGCACTTAGCAGTGTTAGGTTAATTGGTGATTCTAAATTGCCCCAAGGTGTGAGTGTGATTGGTAGTCTATCTGAGCCTGGTGACCTGTTAAGAATGTACCCCTCTTTTTGTCCCACAGCAGCTGGATAGGCTTTAGCATCCCAAGACCCTGAATTGGGCAAGCAGAAGAGAATGCATGGATAGCTGGATATGCTACAGTATTAAAACTACCACCCTAATACTGTGTGATTATATCCCTGCCATCATACAAAACAAAACAGCTCTGGTATAGCAATGTAATTCACTCACTCTATAAAATATTGAAAAGTATTCCTGGGTGTCAGATGTGCTCCAAGACATTAGCAGCAGTTTACAGTTCCTGTAAGTTGTGAGGTCTGACCTTTGATCTTTGATGTTTAATTCAAGTGAGATATTACAACAGTGTGAACATCAACACCTTGAACGTGTTTGTTTGATCTGGTTCATTGTGCATAATGCTCCTGAAAGACTGCAGCAATGTTTGTCAGAGGTAGGTGTCAAAGTAGCATCTACACAAATGCCAGTATCCAAAGTTCCCTTCTGAACGCTACACAGAGCATCACACTACCTTTGCTGACGTTTCATCTTACCATAGTTCATCCTGCAGGGATCTCTTTACTAGATAAACATTGCACATGCACCAGGGTGTCTTGAAATAAACTGCAATTCCTTAAACCAAACTACATTCAGTGGCCTATTGTAGCTGCTCATGGGCTGAGGCAGGAGGCTGCAGTGTATTTGTCTTCTGACATCTTTCTACTGCTGTCAGCCTTCAGGCTCTGGGCAGTTTGTGCTACAGAGCTTCGAGAACAGACTTTCTGCCTAACATGCTATATCATCTGGGTACCACTCTAAGAAATAATCAGATTTATTCACTTGTTTCAGTGGTTTTAATGTTTGACCATCTTGTAATTTTTGTGTGTTCATACGAAACAAAACTAAACAAGAAAAATATGTAAATAGGAAAAAATAAACAATGGGGATGGTTTTTGTCTATTCCAGTCTAAGTGTGTCCATTGATTGCTTAGTAACTGCTTTTGGCCTTTTGTATAAAATTTTATTCCTGTTCTTTATTGATTGATTTATTTGAATAATTGAATTTGCATAAACTGAACAAGATAATATTTTAACCTCCTAAGATCCGAACTCTTCCACAGCATGCATTTTTAATTTCTCTTTGATATTTGGGCATATTGGGGCCTGATGAATGTAAAAACAAAGAATTACCAGATTTTGTTTTTTTACCTTATTTTTGTTTTTAAGAAAAATAAGAGCCACATATTAGGATATTCATTTTAAAATTTTGAAAGAACAGTAGCAGTATAATGTCCTTGTAAGTGGATATCAGGCCCTTGTAGAGCAAAACTGAGGATTTTGGTCTAAATAACCCAAAATGTGATGTCCACATATGTGGACGCCAGGTCCTAGAAGGTTAAATATGTTGCTAAATCCATTTAAACTTTGCCTTTCTGCTGCCCCTTCTTTTGCTGCATGCTAAGCAAAGGTCTGTGACTTAGTAGAACCAAGCATACCTATGTGAGTGCTTCTTACATAGTTTTCCTTTAACTCAGAGGCCCCTGTCCCATGAAGACCACTGGACAAAGGTCACAGTGTTTACCCATATCTTTAAAAAACACTGTAAGCTGCCCGTAATCATCATCGCTGTCAGCACTGAAAGGGCAAGTTGCACCATTAGTGAAGCCTGGGACCTTATGTGAGGCAGGTGCACACTGATTTAATGGGGTTGAGAGTTTGGATGGGGACCTTGTCAGATATTTTTTAGGTACATGAATTTGGCTTACATCTTGTCGTTTAGACATTACTACCAACTCTGTGTGCAGGCATACAAGCGTAGCACTGCACCTTTGCAGGTGGGGGTTCTGTGGGTAAGTTTCATTCCCCAGAAGCTTAACACCATTGTACAAATGACAAAAATCTGCACTGGCAGACTAAACACTGATGGCATCTTAGTCAGCGGCAGTAATGGCTGTTGTCAGTGTGGGGAGGTGGTGTTGTGTTTCATTCTCTGTGGTCCTCGTGTTCTTGAATGTAGGTTATTTTTATGGTCACTGCTTGTGCCAGAACATTTGCATGAAGAAGGACATGTCTAATGCTCATAAACAGGAGAGCCAAGAGTATCCATCACCTCCTTGGTGACAACCTGCTCATTGCATTTTTATCAGTTGGAGTCATGCTACTGTAAAGAGGCCCTGCTCAGTATAATCAGGCCAATTGCTTTTCTGTTAGTCGAGTCAGATTGTAATCAGTATGCGAGCCAACAGAGAAATAGAATTAAATAGAACAAATGAACTACATAAATACCTAAAACTGGATTTTTAAGGCATATCCTGAGCAAACTTGGCATTCTGAAATGTTTTTCTTGGACAATGAGAACAAGGCTGTCATTCTGGGATGTTTATTGTTCCTGCTGTAGCTATTTTTGGAGTCTGGGAAACCTTCAAATATCCTAACATAAACGCGTCATCATAACATGGCTGCTATGACAAATTTGACCAGCAATATTTTAAAGCAAACCATCGTGCTGCAGTAAGTCAAAGGTCATGCTACCAATAAATAAGCTACCTGTTTGGTGCAACCACATAAATGTCAATTAAGGAATCTTAATATTGTATTTGATGTAAGTCTGTTAGGAAAAATAAGTTGTATGGGAGAGTGTACGAAGAAAAAATATATACATACAAGTCTTATTTGGGAAAATAAAAGAACGGGAGTGTCGTGAAATACATTTATATGTAAAGAAATGGTACTGATCCTGTTATCTGGGGTCCCAAAAACAAAGAACAGTTTGCATAGACGTGTTGATGAGTTCCTGGAGGTAAAACAGCTGGTCAGTGTAGGAACTGTCAAGACACCCATAAAAAGAGCAAAGACATCTGGTCATGTGTTTCAAAATAAGACAAAGTTGTTTGTCATTTTTTTTTAGATCTTAAGTAAAGAGGGTTTTCTCATAATGCAGTTTAAACTGAGGCCGAAAGTTAAATAAAAATGTTTTTTTTCGCATCTGAAAGCAAATTTCTACCTCGCGGGCCTGGCAGTCTATCACGACTCTTTAGTGCTACTGGTATGCCATTATTGTGAAAAGCCACTTCCTTCCAAAGCTTGTCGCACCGTGTTAAACTTTACAAAACCGCTGCACTGGACAGGTTTGCTTTTTTGCCGTGGCTGCCAGTCTCAAGCCATCTGTTTCTGCCGTTGCCGGGCACCGACGAGCACCGGGAAACTCGGAAACGAAACGGGACCGGTAAGGCAAAGCGTCTTCGTTTCTGAGTGTAGACATGTGAAGAAGACTGCCGAGTGCAAAAAGTTTTCACGGGACTGAACTGACTTAATGATGCGGGATTTTCAGGTGCGTGGATGCGCCGGTTTCAGACAGAGTGGAGTAAAGGGCTCATTTAGTGCATGTAAAGTTTTATTTTCTCAGTCGCTGGAGGATTAGGAGGGTTTGGCGAAAGACTGTGAATTTTTGAGGTTATGCGTAATTGCGCATCAGCAGCAGCCGCCGAATAATCCTCTTTCTTATCACTTGTTTCGCATGGAAAATGCATTTAACTGATTTGTTCTCTGAAAATAATATTAGCAAACTAATCTCCCGAATAGGCTTAATAAAATGAAAAAAGAGATTGAGACATAATTTAAAAACTAACGAAAGAGAAGGTATCTAAAAGATATATGTAAGATTCATTTGTTGGTATACATTCAACTGTGGGTCATGCACCCCTCACCCCTTTATATGACTTAACAAGATACCCTTTGTCAGTAAAAACATGAAGTTATTCTAGTGCACTTTTGCCTTCACGTTACATACAGAGGCTTCACGCACTGCAAGCTTTCTAATACTTCATACTTAAATACCTAATTAAATTACATTTGCAATCAAATAAGACTTATCGCCCTTGATAGTGTTGAGGAGACTCCTTTAGTTTTAGCTTTACGTGTTCAGCTTGTCTTATTGCTATGTAACCTGTGCAAAAGGCACATATTACATCGTACTACACTCTCCAGAATTATTTGCTTATGAAGTAGGTAAAACTGGCTTTGCATGCAATCTCTTGTGACACATGGGACCTATTTTTACTATTCGATTAACCGCAATTCTGTCACATATGGTCTAGTGGGAGCAGTAATAACAGACGTTTGCTCATGGAGGATTTCTGGACTTTTAAAGATTTATTTTTTATCAGTGCTTTTATGAACTATCAAAAACAGGGGTACTATGGGAGGAGGACATGTTTGTTGGCATATTGTTGGAATCATCTCCAGCTTTCTTTAGCAAGTGGTTTCTGACTCTCCTTTGGCACTTTTGATGGATTTTCAGTGAAATGCCTCTTTTGTTGTATTCTTACTGCCCAGTAGTTGCTGCAATGAATAAATAAAGTGAAATATCACAAAGCCGATTTTGGAGTGCTTCACAAAGTGCAGCGGATCTATACGGAGGTTATTTATGGTGAGAACCTCTGAGAGAAGGCTTCTCCTGCTGAATTACTCTGATGATGAATGTTGTAATTTGTCTTGCCACCTCTTTTTCTTTTGTAGGAGAAAGTCTGACATTGTACAGCTTGTGCCAAGACTAGTCAACAACAGGAGATAGTGTGTAACGATACATTTGCCATGAGGCCATAAGCCATTTATTACAGTACAGGCTTTCAGCAATACAGTACAGTAATGGCAGTGTTTGTGGACATGTGTGCAAAGTGCAAGTTCCATCTGGAAAAGGCATTGCCAGTAGTTGCCTTTTACCTAAACGATACTGTTAGGTCAAGCTACATTTTTATGATGAAGAGATGAATTCTAAAGAAAAAAGAAAAAACTCACTTTGTTTGATTTCTAATTAACAGGATAGCAATTCAAACAAATAGTTTTTCCCGTCCTTCAGAGTAAAGTTCTGGAGTCTTGCTCTTTTACCTCATATGTGCACACCATGAAGTTGGATAAATATGGACATGTAAACAACAATTTTTATATTATACATATACATCCCATGTTTCAAAAACAGTTAATTTCCGTGGCTTTTCTGAGTGCAGTGCAGTCATGAATTGCATTACTTGACAGGGATTTTTGTGTTTTTGAGCATGCAGTGATGTCTGCTACAGTGTTATGTATTATCTATAATACACTGGCTGAGGTCACAGCCATTTAGTATCAGTTTTTAATGTTTTTTCTACATTCTCTGTATATTTGTTTTAATCTTGTTATGAAGATGATGAAATTCCCAAATCCTTTGCCATTTTTACATTGAGAAAATAAATTCTTTAAATTGCTGAACAATTTGCTCACAAAGTTGTTAAACCATGTTTACTTCTGAAGACTCAGCCTTATTGCGGTGTTTTTTTTTTCTACACAGTCTGTTATTTATTAATCCAATTAACCTTGCAGCCCATCAGGTGTTTTCTTTTATCATTACACAACTTTCTAAGTTTTCCTGTTCCCTCAGTTTTGAAGTATGTTTATGAAACTTAATTCCAAACCACATTACATTTTACTTAATGTTGCCACCTGCAATTGTTTACTTGCTTCCTTAGCATATAAATGATCTGTAGAAAGAGAACTTGTAAGTAAAGTGTGCCTCGCACTACTTCAAACCTCCTTAAGAATTGTTGATCTAAGCTAATTTTTCACCCCCTTTTGCTCACAGAACCCCTTCATTCTTTGTTCAATAGATCCAGCAAGGTGCTGGAATCATTCCTCAGAGATTTTGAATCACATTGATATGATAACATCATGCAGTTGCTGAAGATTTGTTGTCTGCACATCCGTGATGTGAATCTTCTATTTCACCATATTGCATCGATGCTCTGTTGGATTGATATCTGGTGAATGGAAAGACATTTTGACTACAGGAAACTCAAGAAACCAGCCTGAAATAATCTGAGTTTTGGGACACAGTGTTTTTTCCTGCTGGACACAGTCACCAGAGGTTGGATACTCTGTGGTCATAAAGGGATGGACATTGTCTGCAGCTTGCACTTAGGCATTTTAAGGTGGCATTTAAATGATGCTCAGGCCCAAAATGTCCCAACAAAATATCCCTCACGCCATTACACCACACAGCAAATCCAGCATGTCCAAATTAACACTGTCAGATTTGATTTCAACACTATTAAAGTGTCTATATGGGTCCACACCAGAGAGTGTTAATTTAACTCTTTTTGGAGAGTTGGTACGTTAACTCTGATTTAGTGTTAAACACCAAATCTGTCTGGAGTTGATAATTTAACACTTGGTGTTAAGAGTTTATATATTAACTCTCAAAGAGTATTTTAGTTTAACTACGTAAGAGTTATCTTCTAATTCATTCTAAAAAGCGGGAATTTTACTGTTCTGAACTTCTAGAAATTTCTTTTGGAAATAAACATTTACTAAAAAGATGCAATGGTTTTTGAAAAACATTTATTCTGAACTGTGCACCACAATTTCAAAACATTTTCTGAAAGATGTAACAGTATACATGTTCTCACTTTCATTAGAATTTTGTTTATCAAAAGGTCTGACATGGTAAATGCAAATAACAGCATTCTCATCACTTATTCTTCAATACAATATGCATGTCCTTCATTCATCCCTTTGTGGAACTTCAACGCACTTCTGCTCTCCCCCATATTCCATCTTCACAAGCATATCCTGTGCGGAGATGAATAAAAATTAGTTGACACTAATTAATGGCACAAATAATCCAGTAAACAATTGCAGCACAGTAAAAAAAAAAAGGAATCCTCTTTGAGCCATTACTTGTGTAAAGTATTTTCCCAAAAGACAAGGACACAGGCAACAGGTAATACTGAACTAAATGTAAAACCTCAACCTTTTTCATTTTTACCTAAACCGTGTGCACAAAACTCTGGAGGGATCTATGCTAACGTAGAATCCAGTCAGGACGTCTGCTACTGCTGTTTGCTCGTTTTTTTTATGGGCGATCGTTTTCAGGCTTCAAGTAGCACCATTATACCAACATTTCACATTCTAACATTGTTTTAGGTGTATTTGACCAAAAGTTTGACTGAAAATTCACATGCAAGCTTTTTTTCAAGGCTGTGGTATTTGCCCGCAAACAATACCTTTCAGCTAGCTAAAACAGAATATTATGCTATCAGCGAGCAACATGGCTAATGCCTTTCACACAGCTTTGTCTCAACTCCAAAGAGCCACAGAAGTAAAAGCTCATAATAATAATTGAAACAATCTTTGAAAAAATGACTTACCAAGCATGGCAAACAACTCAAATATGTAGAGCAAAATGTTCTGAAACGGCTTCACTTCAGCTTCGATTGGAGCCGTGCTGGGGGCGGAGTCTGTGAATTTACTCTGTTGGTGTCATAGCCCCTGTAGGAGTTCAGAGTTAAGAGGTCAAGAGTTAATGTTTCCATTGTAACACCTCCAGATTTGACAGAGAAACACTCATTTTTAACACTCGATTTTAACTACTATCATTTTACACCTCAGAGTTACATTAAAAGAATGTGACTCTGCTTAGAGTAAAATTAACTCTACTTTTGCAAGAAGACTATTAACACCAAAAAATTTAACACTTTTGAATTTGCTGTGCACTACTGTACCCTGAGCCATTGATGCAAGAAAGGATGGATCTATGCTTTCATGTTGTTTACAGCAGTTGTTTCTGCCCTATCATCCAAATGCTGAGGCAGAAATCAAGACTTTTTAGATTAGGCTACGTTTTTCCAATCCTCTGTTTGATGAGCCTGTGCAATTTGCAGCCTCAGCTTCTTGTTCTTAGTTGATAGAAGAAAGATGAAACCTGGTGTTCTCCTCTGTTGGTGTAGCCCATCTACTTAAGGATTTGTTGTGTTGTTTGTTCAGAGTTGTTCCACTGTATATTTTGCTTGTAACGAATGGTTTGCTTTACTGTTACCTTCCTATCAGCTCAAAGTATTCTGTTTTCTCTATAAACATTAGATATGGTTGTGTGGGAAAATCCCAATAGATCAACAGTTTCAGAAACACTCTGACCAGCCTGTTCTTCAACAAGAATGTCACATTCAAAGTTATTTAAATCACATTTCTTCCCATTTCTGATGCTTGGGTTGAACTTCAGCAGGTCATCTTGCATACATGGCTGAATGCATTTAGTTTCTGCCATGTGATTATATTAATTAGATTAGACTGATTAGAAATTTGTATCAGTAAGTTGTTGAACAGGTGTACCTAACAAAGTGGCCAGTGAGTGTATTTAACTTGAGAATAACAAGAAAAAGTTATTATTCAAACAGATGATTAGCAGATCATATTTAACAGCGCTTGCTCGTAGGAGGTGATCTGATGTTGGGTTCTTTACCCTGCAGTATAAAGAACCTACAGCCAACAGTTCTAATTTCACACCATATAAATAAACTT